CGCTGCCCTGCTGATGCCGGGAGGGGTCCTGCCTGTTGCTCTGCTCCCCGCCGGGACGGAGCCCGGCGTCGCCCGTTTGGCCCCGGGCCGCGGGCAGCCCGCGGTCGGGACGCTGCCTCCGGCCGTCGCCGCCACTCGGACTCCCCGCGGAGGCCGCGGAGCCGCGGTCCACGTGGAGGGCGGCGGGGAGGGGTCGTGACTGTGGAGGGGACCGAGACGCCGGGGACAGGCTGTGCGTCGTGCCCACCGCCCCCAGGGCAGCCCCCCGGCCCCGCGGCCGCGCCGCTCCCCCGGTCCCCGGCTCCAGCCTGGCCGCCGAGTCCGGCCGACAGCGGGCGAAGCCGAGGAGAACGGCGAAGGTGAGCGGGAGGAGGCTGGCGGCGGCGCCCCGCATGGTGTCAGCCGGTGGCGGGGGTAGACGGGCGGCGCGGAGCGCTCAGCGCCAGGATGGCATCCCCCGGCGGGCGCGGGGCAGCGGGGACCGCAGGCTCTCCGCCCCTCGCTCACCGCCCCATCCCGCTCCGGGACTCCGACGGGACCTGCCGCCCACTGAGACCGGGGGCGCAGACAGCAGTGCTAAGGCAGGGGCGCGGGCTGTCGGGCGGCCCCCGCAGAAGAAGGAAGAGGAGGAGGGCGGCCGGTCCCGCTCGCCGGGCTGCCAGCGAGCTCCCGCGCTCCGCAGGCAGTTCCGAGCACCTTCGCGCCTGCCTCTGGCACTGGCAGCGCCTGGAGGGGATGGAGGGTTTTATTTTTGGAAACCTCCCCCTCTGTGTCTTTTTGATGCTGACATCCCCCCTCTCCAGAGGACACGGCTCGGCCCCCCTCCTTAGGAGAGGAGACATTCCAGCAACACCCACTTTGGCAAAGGGAAACAAACTACAACAGAGAAGCCTTAACCCCTGCCTGGCCGTGGAGACCCGGCTGCCGCCGGTCCCGAAGCCTGCGTGCAGCCCCCGCAGTCCGCCCCGCCGCTCGGCCCGCAGCGACCCGCCGGCCCCTGCCGCAGTTGGGAACGCTCAGGGAAGCTGGAGCAGCCCTGGATGTGGGGTGCCCGGAGCAGGAGACACGGATGCCGGAGGAATACCGCTGCCCCTCAGCATCTGGGGACTCGCGGAGCTGCATTAGCACCACTAGCCCTCTCGCTGCTCTGGATCTCATCTCACAGGAAAAAGGCACGGCAATGGGAAGAGCCTTAGCTGCAATCCTACCCTGCTTCCAGAGCTCTCAGATCCCCTCAACCCGGTTCAGGGCTTTATACTCTTCCTTATATAGGTCCAGGCTAAAAAAGGACCCACCTAAAAGCTCCAGGTCCTTCAGCTAAGAGAGATCTTTCAGGAGACATATTCCAGACTTAGGGTAGACGTCCATTCTTCTCCCCATCTTTCTCTGCTGAGTGCCAAAAGGTTGACAGAAGACTTGAAATGATTGCTTTGCTTTATAGGTACTGAGAAAGATTGAGGGAAGAGTAGGAGGAGGGAGAACAGGGCAGGAGGGCACAAATCCCATTTCAGCCACACACCAGCTTGGCCTTGTCCTCTGCCACAACTCTGCAGTTTTCTGCTGCTCTTGCCCATCTCAGGCAAGGAGCAAATCCTCCCACCAGAGCGCAGGCACTGTCCTTTATTTGGGATGGGCTCATTCTGGCCCACAGCAGCATTTGTGAGCTTGGTGGGTGGCTAAAGACCTCTGTATTTGAGGCAGAGGAGGGCATTGCAAATGCTCCCAGGAAGGAGATGCATCCCTGCAGTGGGTCCTGTGGCCAGTAATGCTTTGCCAACCTGTTTTCATCATGCCAAGCTCAGGTGGACAAGAGGTGCACCTCACTCAACATCCCAGTCCCAAGCGCTGCAACTGGATGTCTGTGGGAGAACACAAAGAACTCTGCATGTGCACAGAGTGATCCTTTGGGTGTACCCTTACATCTTCCAGCAGCCTGCAGGTAGGGGCACCTTCAGCCAGATACTGCAGCTCAGCTACTGGGTTTAGAAGGCAAATTTTCATTTCAATCCATGATTTTATCCAATTTCTTTTGTCTCTTTTGTTGCATGGGGTGACTGCAACATAGAGCACTGGCTCTCCTTCTGTGCCCACTGCTTCCCCAGCTCCCCATCCCATTGACACTCCTCTCCCTCCAGCCTCTCCTACTGCAGGTGCTGCCTCCCCGGTCCTTACCAAGCTGTCTGCTTCCCAACAGCTTTGTGGCAGAGGGATCTGTCCAGCTCTCCCAGTTTCTCCTCTCCAGCCTCCAGTAGTTGTGTTCCTAAAGCCTATCCTATTTGAAACCAGTGGCTCCATCTTCCCTCTTCTCATTACACCTGACTTTTAGGCTTTCTCAGATCACAGCCATCCCCTTCTTGGGATGACAGCTTTGCTTCCTGCCCTCCACAGTGCTGTGAAGCTGGGAAAGGAGCAGAAGCACAGGGAATGAATCGCCCTGAAAGCATACTGGGTCTGGAGTAGAGCTGGACCTTAGCACATCCCTTCTGGCTGGGGCTGCCCTGAGAGGGAGAGGGGATGTAACTTGGCAGATGAGCAAGTGTGACCAGAATGAGGGACTGAGTCGGTTCAGGCTTTGACCTTAGCACTGGCAGCTGGCTTACAGGGCAGCAGAAATACTGCTTTGGCACTTCCTGGGATGCAATCAGCTTGCCTATCTGCCCTATTAGGGCAGAGACATCACTTGGGCAGGGGCTTGCATGGCTGTAGATGCCATGAGTGGTGCCCAGTAACAGCCCTGACTTGTTTCTTTGTTCTGAGGAAGAAGAATGTCATTTCCATCCTCACCTAATTACTTTCTTATGCAGCAGTGGAAAGAATGCTTGTGCCTAAACCTGAAATGAGAAAATTATCAACACCATAAACAAAGCCATAAACCAAGCAGCCAAGGGCCCAGGCAGTGCTCAAACCTAGAGCAGGCAACACTAGAGCAGGGGCCTCAAGTGGATTCCTCCTTCCTGGAGGTGCTGGGTCACCCCAGGGAAGAAGACATTTAAAACAGCCCCAGGGGATGACACCGCCACAGGAGCCTGCACTCAGGATCCAACAGTGCTGGGGCTGCAGGAGCCTGTGCCTAGCTAATGGGCCTGAGGAATGAGATATCCAAGTCCAAAAGAGCCATCCACGGCCCCCCGACACCTCTTGTAGCCACCCCTGGCTGTGGTGGAGCCTGGCTCAGGGAGCTGGCATCCCTTCTCAAATCAACTTAGATCCATGTTTACAGTAACCCCCCAGAGCTGGACACTGAGCTCCTTCCAGCCTCACACATGCAAACACTTCTTTGCTTTTGCAGGGACGTGCTGATGCTGTTTGATCTCATGGAAGCACAGTAGCAGAGCAGGGGCCAGATGAGGGCAGTGGCCCCCAAACCCTCCACCCCAGGGCTGTCTGGTACAAGGGGCTGCAGGCACAGGGGTGCCCTGTGCCTCATTTCATACTTGGCCATCCCCCAAAACAAACCCATCAGAAAAGGGGAAGGGCAGGTTGTGTGGGTAATCCTAGTGCAGGTTGGGCTTCAGCATGTGGCTCAGTGGGGGCTCAGCCGGCAAACACGAAATACCTCATTGCTCAGGAACTTGCATAGGCAGAGTGTGGATGGTTGGCCTGCTTGCTGCCGAGATCAAATCCCCGCCTGGGAAGAGAGATCAGCAGTGGAGAGAGGACAGGGCAGTAAGATGGCAAGCAAGGTTCAACAGCCCAGCCCCCATCAGCAGGGAACACAGAGGTCCTCCGGGGAGGCAGGCTTCAGGAGAGCAGCTCAAAGTGCTCTTTGATGCCTTCACTTCCCTTAATTCTCAGCGTGACCTAGGCAGCAGAGGAGAGGCTGAGGGCAGACACTATTGCAGTACCTCTCCAAGTCTATGCTTTCCAGGGCTAGGACACCAAGCTGAGTGAGGCAGACCTGGGAGCCAGTTCAAAAAGCAAGAGGCTCATCAGACCCTTCAGAGAAGAGGAGCAAAGGTGGCCTGCATTGATGGCATGGCCCTTTTAACCTGCCCTGTCTATGGCAGAGAAGGTCAGGTGCTCGGGCACCTGAGCATCAAAGCCATGGGCCAGAGGCAGGGGGGTTAAGGTGGGCTGTGACCTGGAAAGATGAGTATGAGTCACATCTTCATGAGCCCTCTCAAAGGACAGGGAAAAGGGCCTCTTCAAGATTGTGCTGATGGGGGGCCCTCTATGCCAGGACCTCTCACACCTTCATTCCCCTGCCCATTGGGTCCCCACCAGCTCTGCACACTTTCCTTGGTGCAGTAGCACCTGGGAGCCATGCTTCCAGGGCCAGTTGGCTCCCAGATGTGGCTCCTGGCATTGGATCCCTTCAATTAATTAGCCCCTTTTCTTCCTTTTCAGAAGGGTTCACAACCCACATGTGCTCCTTCCTCTGCTGCAAGCAGACCCCTAACGCACTGCAGATGGGGCACATTCCATGGATTCAGAAGCTGCCTGCAGCTCCCGCAGAGGAAGGAGTGCTCCCCCTGCTCAGGGCTGAAGGGCAAGGGAAGGTTGGCCAGCCCCACTGGCTTAAAAATTTGGGTGAGGAGCCAGCTGTGTAGAGGTACAAGTCACCGCTTCTCTGAAAAGAGCCATCTCACACCAGGAGGGAGAACATGGCTGCTTTGAGGAGCTGGATAGAGAAAAATTTTGAGGTGACAGTGATCTCTGGAGAGGATCTCTATAACCATGGGCTGCAGGAAAAGCAGCTTCTGAATTTGCAAACACAGCCAGCAAATCCTCTACAGACAGCATTCCCACCCCTTGCCTTTGCCATGAGATACACACAGCTCAGCACACTCATGGCACCCAGGGAAGCAGACATTCCCAACCAACAGACAAGCCACTCCAGCCAAACACACAACCTGGCCTTCCAGCCACCTCCACCCACTCTTGATGCATCCCTCAGAGCTTTGGGGTATATCTTGGCCTCTCCCTGTGAGGAGGCCACCAGCAGGCAGCTGAGGGCTGTGTGGATGGTTTGTTGTCAGAAAACAGAAGAAAAACTTTCCGGCACTTCCTAGTCGAAAGCCAAGGTTTGCTGGTTTTATTGTTCCTTCTGCTTTCATTCAACCAGGACCATCTCCAAGGTGGAGGCACAGACCAGGCAATGGGGTGTCCCACAACTGGACTTCTTGATCGTGCTGTTGTCTAAATGTATGTCCAAGCATTACTATGCTGAAAAAGAGGTTACTAGAGGAGACAAAAACATGTTGCTAGGAAGAAGAAACCTGCAGAGCAGGACCAGATGGCAGAACCCAAGAGATGGAAGTGCAGAGTGAGGCAGAGAGGAGATTGCAGTCGGCTACTGCTGTAGAAAGGCCCTGGTTGAGCTGGCTGCAGAGCACAGCTGGTTCCTTATTTTTCCATCACACTATTTAGAGCCCCTTCAGCAACTCCTCAGGAGAAAAAAAAAAAAAAACCTCAGCTAGAATAGGACTCATGCAGAGCTACAGCAACTCAAGAGAATCTGTCCATTTATAATTAATGAAGTCCTGTTTGCAGTGATCCGACTGCAATCTCCCCTCTCCCCAAGAGGCTGATCTGGCCTCTCTGCTTCTTCAGTACCTGTGGCTGGAACTGCATGTGGTGTGGAAAGGGGCCTGGAAACTAGGAAAACCTGAGCATGCCTGAGGAGCAGAGAGGCTGCCCTGACCAGGAAATCCATTCCATCATGCATTCCCTGCAGGAGCAAGCCTGCTCAGGACATCAACCTGATGGGGGGCTTCAACTGCTCCACTCATTAGTCATCTGTCCTCACAAAAGCAGGAGAAAAAAGGAAAGAAGGAAGCAGAACCTTTGCCATTTTTATGGGCTGTAACCCTTGAAGAGGGAATGTTCCCCTTTGGTGGTCTGGGCACTGCTAAAAGGAGTGTGGAAAGGACCCTCATAGTGTGAATTTCCATAACCTTTTCTTCCCCTTTTCACCAGGGTCTCAATGCCAGGAGGCTCTTCCTAAGGCAGCCATTGAACATGCATGTTGTGGACTGGAAGGGAACCGGGAAGCAGGAACAACAGCTTGAGGGTACGCAGGGAGCCTGATGAGATGCTCTCCTCACTGGGAAGTCTCCTGGTACAACTTCAAAGGCAGTGCTTCCTAAGGAGCCCACAACCTGTAGAAAATATAAGATGCAAACAAGTTGACCCGACCAGGCAATGCCCAGGTTGTGATGAAGAAGCTCTTCCTGAGAAATTCCTCCCACACTGAACTTCTCAACAAGAAGATGACAAGAAAGAACAAACTTGAATCAAACTTTCAATTCTACAGAGTGTTTGGGATTAAAATAGTTTCATTTCTGCTTCTGATTTCAAAGCAACCTTTCTAAAAAGCAATGATTCGTTTCCTTCAAGTTGCTGTTCCTTCCTCAAGACCCTCATCTTGTCAGCCCAGGGCATGGGAAACTTGGACTTAAAGTCCTTCAGTCCATCAGTTTTGCATAACAAAGTGAAACTGATGATGGTCGCACAGATCCTGAAATAGGAATGACTGGTGAGGGTGATGTTATATCTGTATATTAGTTTGTTTACTCTGCCATCCTAAAATCACTCCCATCACAGGATTTTAGGTGCTTTCCTACCAGTTTGCGCATTGCAATGGCTGTGTGAGCAGTGATCTCAGTTCATTACAATGCAATCGTTTCAAGTGAATGTTTAATAGCTTACTAATAAGTGAATCTTAGGGAAATGCAAAAAGTGGCAATTAATGGTGGCATGTGTTAGAGTTTAAATAGTTAGTCATCACGCAATAGACTAATGCATTGACACTTTACAGTCCCATTGGGTAATTATTGGGATTAGGCTGAGTACCCAATTTCCCAGCTATGACTTCATAGGCTGGGAATTCAGCTCTCCAGTGACATCACAGCTCCAGAAGTCTCCCTCACTAGTTGCCAGGCTGACTCTACTGTCACCAACTCTACACACAGGTGTGGCACATAGCCTTAAGAAAGGAATCCAGACTCTTACAAGAAATAAGAATAATGATGAATGAGAGTTTAAAAAGGAAATAAATGCAGGACAACTGCAGAGAAGGTGAGTAAAGCCCCTTTTTATGCCACACCACATCAGGTCATAATCTTCTGAGAAAAGCAGGGAGCTTGAGATGCAGAAGCATCCACTTCCCACCCAAACAGGAGCCACACCAGGCACAGAAGTCCGTAACAGGATTAAAGATTGTGATTGTCCTGGCACTTGTGATTATACTGCCTCCCCTAGAGTTTGAAGGTCAGGACAAAAGTAGGGACAATGCAAGCCTACCTTGGCCTCCGAACTGAGATCTGGCATACCTTCTCAGGCTATGCCCTGCCTTCCCTCCCTCTCCTTTTCCCCAGTTTCAGCCCATCTGAGCAGTCAAGAAAGCCTTGCACAGCTCAAGGACACAGCAGTGGCAATAGCACAGGTGGCCAAGACTAGCAAGCTCTGACAGCAAGGGTGGCAGCCAAGGAAGGCAGCTGGCACCATGGAGGTGGAAAAGACCCTCGCCCCTCCCTCCCAGAGCCTGGCTTTGTGCATCCCTGAGCCAAGGGAAGCACATCCTGGAGGATGGCAGGGCTGAAGAAGGCGGGGAGCTCACGATGTTCCTGGGGAACATCCCTGCATCAGCAACATCAGGCCCAAACTGCCTGTTCTGAGGCTGTGCAAGCTAGGCTTGTCTACACGCAGCTCTTGCTGCAGAGTAGCAGGAGGAAGGCAGACAGGGGTAGAGAGCAGGAAAGGTATTTGCACAAGACAGGAGTGCAATCTGGGAGCAGATGAAAATGAAGCAACAGCACTAGCTAGCCTTATGCTCACTGTAGGGGCCAAGGGGATGCTGAAGGCTCCTCACTGAGCACAGAGCATGGCCAGGGCCACCCCACGCGCAGGAGCAAGTGCTGTCTGTGGGGGCCCCTCTCAATGCCACTTTGGTCTCTCGTTCCATGGGAAGATGGGACCAATATGGCCCTTGGCTTTCCTCAGTGCTGTCCCTGGCCTTAGTCACCCCGGCCTTGAAATCCACTTTTCAGCAAAGGCAGCTGCTCCTCTGGCAGGTGTTGCCTACCTCAGTCAGGCTCTGTTTCCCTGCAAGCTTGGCCAGATCTGTGGAGCTATGGAGGGTACAAACATCACTGACAAAAGCTTTAGGCTACGCAAATCACCAAGAGGTCCCAGTGGAGCTAAAATCCTATGTTAGAGCAAGTTTGGGGGCTTAGAGGGGTAGAGTGATATGCCATCAGCGTGGATCTCATCTCTGAGCTTGCAGGCACCATGTGTAGCTAAGGCAGTGTGGTATCAGCATCTTGTGCCCTTCCTCATCCCCACTATCCATAGGTTTCCTGCTAGCCTGCACCCAAGGCTGGCTGTCCTTCCCACACCAGAGAGCTGGTGCCCCTCTGGCAGCCCACTGCTGCCACCAGTCTTACCACTGGGACTGTGCTTCTCCCTAGTACAGCTTTTGGAAACCAGATCCAGGCCCAATAGCAAGACACCTTCCCCAGCCCGGGGCGACACCTTTTCAGGCCAAAACTGCATGTGAAGTTTGGCCCAACAAAGAAGCAGCCCCATTTATTTCAGTTACCGCAGCAATGCAGGGAGGTGCTGACCTGCAGTGTCTTCCAGACCACAGAGCTGCTGGGGAGGTTGAGGCAAACCACAGAAAATACCACAGGAGCTGGTGGCCAGCTCTAGCCCTGTGTCTCTTCACCAGGACAGATCCAACCAAGCCTGATGCACCCTAGGGGTGAATCCATGTTACCCATACAACCAGGGCAGCCTCTTCTGCAACAGCTCCAGTGCTGCTAAGCAGAGCCCGGGGGTTGAGGGATCCTCCAGTTTGCCCCCTTCCTCCCTCTCAGTCTGACTCTAGGTTACTGTGAACTACAGCTGACCCACAGCTCTCTACCTCACCTGTCCCTGCCCCATTATCCATATCCTATATGGCACCAGCCCCTTGGCCCCTGCTCAGTTCCAGCCTCCAGCTGGCTTTGGGGCCACTGCTAGAAACATTATAGCACACCTGTTCTTCAGATGAGGGTTTACAGCCAAGGCTAGCACATCTGGATTGTAGAATAGACATTTGGAAGTTTATCAATACATTTCCAAACAGTCTGGGTATGGCAGAAACTCTGTCTCGTTGCTTTAGTGGAGGAAGCAGCTGGGCTGGAAGGATGGTTTGGTGCCCTTCTCACGCCCCATGTAGGCTGGGCTGTGCCCCCCGCCGCCACCCCAGCCCAGAAAATGAACTGCCTCTTCCTGATACTAGTAGTCCAGGAAGCTGTGTCAGCAAGGTTCCAGGAGGGAAACTGGGAAGTGAAATACAGTGCCCTTCGCACCCCAGAACCTGCTGATGCAGCTGTACCAAGCCTAGAATACAGCCAAACATCTCCCAGAAACTCCATGTGCTCAGAAAGTTGATTGGGAATCTGCACTATGTGGGTTGGGTGGAGCTCCATCAGCTTGGTCCTGTGCAAAGCTCAGCTGCCTCCAGGGCTTTTGCTCTCACTGAAGTCCTCAGCAGCAGCAGCATCAAGCTGCCACTAATAGGTTTGTCAGCACCAAGCAGATCTAAAGGAGGAACATGGCCCACTGCCCTGCGTTGTTTCACGTGCGCAGCCCCTCTCATTGTATTAGTTTCTCAGATGTGCAGCACTCACACCAGTACTAACAACAGACCTCCCACATAAGTGTTCACATACTCTGATTTTGGTCTCTTCCCAGTCATTCCTGCCAACAGAAACACAGCTGATGCTTCAGGGTGTGAGTGACACAGAAGCAAGAGACACAGACAAACTGTAAAGCTGATAGAGCAGGAGGTAGCTCTATCCCCAGCGTGCAGGAGAGCTTTGGTAACATAGTGGTGGTTGCTTCCCACAAGGTCTTCAGATGGTCTGGGTCTAAGTTCACAGCAATTGATTAACAAACCTTTCATCTCCTTCCAGTTTGCCCGTCCAGCTGCAGGTGAAGGCAACAGTACTGCCTGCCATGCTACACCCTCATCACCCCTGGAAGAGAAACGACTCTGCTAACCTAGTGGCTGAGCACTGCACAAATATCCGCAGGAGCTGGCAAAGGTGGCACAAAAGGAGAAATTTCTTTCAAGCTGTATCAGTCTCCTCACTTCTCTGCAATGCAGCACACTGTACATGTATTTATACCTATTTTACAGGCCTTTGGATGCTTGGGAAAACCTGGATTTTTCCAGCATGTCTTCCCTCCCTAATCCACATGCTCTCAGTAATATTAAATGATCTCTTTAGAGTCACAAACTCAAAGTGGTTCCAAGCTCAGAGGATTTTAGTGGAGGAGGCAGGAAAGAGATGAGGGCGAGAAGGCCAGGGGTAACCCCAAACCATCAAACACCATACCTGTAGCAATGGAGATGCAAATACATTTCTATAGTGCTTTGCACTCAGCCAGTTTCTTTGTCGTTATGCATGTTTTAGAAACCTGGGTGCAAAGTGGAAAAGAGACCTCCACACATGTGCCCCCTCTGTTTTTGTTCATATTCCTTGCTGGGCCCTCTGGCACTAGAACTGAGGGCATAATGTAGGAGAAAATGCCTGAATTAATGTGAGACCTGTACACAGGCCACTGCTTAGGGAGAACAAGCATGTTTAGCTGCTGCTACCACTGAGCATCTATAACAATGTCTGAGGTCCATGCTAGGGCCCCATTCACTACTGGATACTTCTTCCATGGTACCTGGAGAACCTGCAAAGATGCTACCAGCAATTCAGGGTGAGAGATATTGCAAGACATGACAGAGAAGAACATGTTGGAAAATCAGGGAAGGGGATTCAAAACATCATTTGGATCTTCCCAAGAAAATTCCCCTCTTGTATCTGGATTTGTCAGTGGGCCCATCTGGTCAGACCATCCCAGATGGTGTATTTTTGACAGAGAAGGCAATGTAGCTTAACATTTCTCAGTAAATTGAGCTGGTCACCTCTAAGCTTACAGGTCACTGAGTCTGCTGTCTCTTCCTCCCCCCTAGAGCATAAATCTGACCCTCACCCCAGGCCCTCCTTCCCTGAGGCAGGCAGGTCCTCCTTATGACAGCCAGTGCTTTGTTTAGCAGCTCAGCCAACACTTCCTCCCCAGGGAGAGCATAACTCTGTAGAGGCAAAGGTCAAGTGTGCTCTTCCCAAAGCTGAGGATTTGCCTTTGCCACTTAATCCAGCCTGAGATCTCACAGCCAACACAGAGCTTCCCCCAGTGCTGGGAGCACAGCCTTTGTGGGCAGAGGAAGGCATGCACCTGGGACACAGGTACAAGTACAAACATCTGCCCTTTCCCACAAGCCTTCAGGGCACCAGCAAGAAGGCATCTAGGAAAACAAACCCCCACCAGATACTTCATTGCTATTTTGTGAAATAACCCTGCTCTCACTCCCACCAGTTCAGGCCTAACGCCAAATGCCAGGTGGCTGTTGATGCCTAATTTCCACTAACTTCCACAGTTGCTTTACAGCCCTGCCTCCTATTGGGAAGACTGGAAGTAAGCCAGATTTACCACTGGAGTGTCCAGAGGCAGCAGCTCAGATGGCTTCCAGAAGCACTCTGCTGTGCCCCAAAGTGCTCCTGTCCTCCAGGACTCAGCCACAGCCCTACAAGGAGTGGTGTGGGCAAGGGAGCAGTGAAGTACCCTGTCACTCTTGGTTTCGCATTGGACGTGAGGAGGAAACAGGCTCCTACTGTCCTCAGCCAGCCATGAGCCTCCCAGCCATGGCCAAGCAAGCAGGTTGTCCTGGCAGCATCCCCTGGTGCTCTCCCACATGCTCATAGACTGGTTAAGGTGGGATGGAAACTCTGGAGAGGGGTTCAGCCCCTGCTCAGGCCAGCATGCTCAGAGAGCCACGTTCAGTTGGGTTTTTGAACCTCTCTGAGGATGGAGGCTCCACAGCCTCCCTGGGCAATCTGCTCCAGCATCCTTCACTCTGATCTGACCTTTAACACAGGTGATCATCCACCACCTTTGCTGTAATGGGTTTGGTTGCCACCAGAGGAGGTGGAGATGCCACTACTGGATGTGACACCAATGGACCCGCACAATGCTTTTAGCTGCACCTCCTGGCTCCAGTCCCAAGGGGCTCCCTCAACCCCAAGTTACAGGGCTTTGGTCAAGAGGCTAAGCCTAGAGCAGAAGAGGAGTGTCTCCCTCGTTTGCACTGACCACACAAACACAGTGATAGCAGATCTACCCCTTGCTGCTTCCCCTCATTTCTTGCATTCTGTTCAAGTCAATGGAAGAAGAAGGGGTAGGGGGCAGGAGACATCA